AAAGAGCCTTTTTCATACTTGTTTGTATTGTAGAAAAGATGTTTTCATGAAACATCTTTTGGGATTAGTATTTCATGAAACATGTTTAGGATGTGCTGAATACAAACAAATAAGACAAGCTTCCAGCTAAGCATAACAGATTGATAAGCATAGCACCTGTTTAATTCCCTAATCCTTCCCAGAACCCTACTAAAATGACACAAAAGAATGAAAAGAAAAATTTTAAGCCACAAGACCAGAGAACTAGGGAGAAGAGACAGCAGATAAGAGATGTCCACAAAACTTGCAAGTGATTGTGTGAGGTGAATGGTAAATTGTCTTAGCAGATGGGGCAGCTGGCTGGCTCAGTCAGTAGAGCTTGTGACTCTTGATCTTGGGGTCATGAGCTCAAGCCCTATGTTGCAGGTAGAGTTTACTTAAAAAAAAAAAATTGTCTCAGCAGAAAGCTGAACCTTTCATGGGGAGCATGGAGTTAAGAAGAAATCAGTTTACATACCATAGAACCTTAGGCAGTCTTGGGTCTGAGGACCCTCCATTATCTTTGAAAGCAGGGATATGGGTGGTGCCAAAAAACAGAATTGGTTAAAATGTTTTAAAGGACTTTATCCTGCAGTCTTGGCTGAACAGGGTAGGGGAGGATTCCACCCAGGCAAAGACTGGAGGCTTACTCTGTAGAGTGAGTGGTTAAATCAGATTAAACTCTGGCACAAATGAGGGTAGAGGAAACAACAGAGTAAAGAGAGGGAAATTAAGTCAAATGTTAAGGCCTCTAATTCTCTACCCATGGCACTTGCAGTGTTGCTTATTCCCAGATTGGGAAATAGGAGGCATCTTCTGAGATACTCTCTTACCTAAGAGAAAAGACTTGAGATTTTGATATTTGGGAATTGCCAAATGAAATAGATCTCTGCTTGATCACCCTACAGTGAAACCCATTAGTTGAAACGCTCTGACCACCCATCCTCACCATTTTCAATCAGTATTTTAGTGTCTCACAAATCAAGGATCACCAGATATTTGGGGGAAACCTCCAGTATAAGAGAGATCAGAACAGAGACAAAAGGAACTGTATAGAATAAACCAAGTGCTGGGAAACAGAGAACAATTTAAAAATTAATATTCTCAGAGATAAGGGTAGTTCATCATTGAAACAAGAAAGACTAAAAAAAGAAAACTCTTGGAAATCAAAAATGTTATAGTAGAATTCAGCAGGGATAGAGGATAAACTGAGAAATCTGAGAAGGTGAGACAAAAAGTTGACGAGACAGTAGGGTATTAGTCTATGAGGTTCAGTACCAAATAATAACATTTCAGAAAGAAAAAAAGCCAAAAGGCAGAAAGTTATCAAGAAAAGGTACTACAAAGGAAAATTTCCCAGAGTAACTGGGTGGGAGTATCTGGATAAAGAAATAACCTAATACCTGGTAAATGAGGAAAGAACTAATGTGCTTCATAAAATTCTAGAACTCTGCAGATAATAAGATCCTAAGAGATTCTAGAGAGAGAAAACAGACTATGTATAAAAGAATGTTATCAACAACGGATGGAGCACTGGAGCGATGTCTTGAAAATTCTGGGGAAAATAATTACCCAAGACATTCTAAACCCTGTTAAACTGTCAGTCAAGTGTTAGGGTAGAATAGACATTGTCAAACATGTAAGAGCTCAAAAATTGATTCTCACACACCCTTTCCCAGAATTTTGCTGGAGGATGTGCATGCTTCACTAAGTAAGAAAGTAAATGAGCAATGTGAGATTCAAAAAATGAGTTCTGATTTAGGGAAAAGGTAAATGGGATTATCAGGTTGATGATAGAGGATGGTTCAGAATGACCATTAAACAACTTTTAGAGAGTTACCAGTTCAGACTGGAGCAGGACAAAGGAATAGCATTTCCATGAGAGTGGGAAACAGATTTTGTGTATGAGTTGATGGGTTTGAGTGTATTAAGAGGAGATTTATACTTTTGTTGTAGAGTTAACTAAATTAATCATACGTAATAAAGAGAAAAAAGGAAAAGAGAAAACAGAATAGTTAATTAACCCTAGGAAAAGCAAGCAGTTGTACGAGAAAAATAATTTAGTATGTGGTTCAGCCGTGAATAATGTTTATGCAGTTATATTAATGTAATATTGCTTATATCAAATGTTGATATGTAAAAAAGAACATTCAGTGGAAGCAGCTAAGGAAGTGGGTAAGGCAGTGGTTGGTCTAAGAGAAAAGTCTTTATCTTCTATAGTAAAAAAATCATTAGAAAATATCTTAAACCAAAAAAATCAAGGTAGAGTAGTATTATAAGCATGTTATTTAGAAATAGGCAAATATTAGAAGAAACAGTTAAGGGATTTGATGAGTGCTTTCAGGGAGTGGGAATTTCTGTAGTTTTTCTCTATAAGCCTAGAAGTGCTGTTTGACTTCTTAAAGTTTGTACATGCATTACTTTGATAAAAAATGAAATGTAAAGGCCTATCGTTGCTGTCCAAAGGCAGATAGATTAGTAGGGTGGATATGTGAAATGGTCTCTAGGAGATCACAATTTAGATATATCTACCAGTATTGAATATTTTTGAGATTGTTATTGGAGCTGCTCAGTAATTACCTGAGAATTACCCAGAAATAGGTGAAATACCTTTTGAACTAAATTTCACATTTAGCATTGGCCAGAAAAGGAACAGTTCTTCCCATAGAGAGCGTTCTGTCTAATGGTGGCTTCCTGAGATAGGTTTTCAAGTGAAGGAGCGCTATGTAAACTTTACAAACTCATAAGTATTAAGTGAATGAAACCAATACCCTTAGGGTATAAAAGACACTGTATTGCGACAACACAGCAATTCAAGCGGAGCTGAAGGAAATAGTTACTTTTTTTTTTTTTAAGATTTTATTTATTTGACAGAGACGCAGAGAGAGAGGGAACACAAGCAGGGGGAGTGGGAGAGGGAGAAGCAGGCTTCCCGCGGAGCAGGGAGCCCAATGTGGGGCTTGATCCCTGGATTTCGGGATCATGACCTGAGCCGAAGGCAGATGCTTAACAACTGAGCCACCCAGGTGCCCCAAAATAGTTACTTTAAGAATGTGGCTGGATACCTATCACACATTTTTATTCCTGGCTTGACGCGCAATTTAAAAAATCACTTTGGGGCACCTGGGTGGCTCAGTCAGTTAAGTGTCTGCCTTCGGCTCAGGTCATAATCTTGGGGTCCTGGGATCGAGCCTCACATCAGGCTACGGGCTCAGCAGGGAGTCTGCTTTCCCTCTCCCTCTGCCCCTCCCCCCCTGCTCATCTCTATCTCTCTCGCTCCAATAAATAAATAAAATCTTTTTTATAAATAAAATTAGTATCATCTTTTAAATATACATTGAAGAGTAAGAAAATAAGTTCCTGGAACTCAGCTAGTACCCCTTTCCCCAATGTTGAAATTACATTTGTTAGAACAGTTCTGTATGGGATGTGTGAAGGATGGATAATAGCAGGAAACCAAACAGCTGCTGTATAGTAACTTAAAAGGAAATTAGTATGCTCTTAAGTAGAAAGTAACCTATTATCAACTGGACTGACAGAAGAAACCCCAAATGCATATGGTCTTACAAATAGTGGGAAACAGGCCTCCTCGTTAGAGTGATTTATTTTTAACAAAGTCACTAGGCCCTTTGGGAGGCAAGCAAGGCAGAAGATTGAAAGATCTGTTGTCATTTGCACTGTGCACTTTTTATAGAGTTCTGAGGTGAGAGCAGCGACAACAGTAGCCGCAGCGGTTTATTGCAGACAACAAATGCATTGAGAGGTAGAGAAGACTAATAACATAGGCTCCATGGTAAAGAAAAACTAAAAGCAGTAATCTGTAAAGATGTTAAACCAATTCTTGTGGTTGGCAGAAACTATCTTTTATCTTCCTTAACCTGGAAGTATGTATCCACAGAAATAAATTTCCTGATATGACAGGTAAGACCAAAAAACCCAAATCATAAGCAGTGCAGCCAAAAACATTGCTATAACAGAAAGCTATTTTAATCAACACTTCTGCTCTTCCTACTTTTAAAGTTTGAGGAGGAACAAGGTTACTTGACATTGGTGCCAGTAGTACTATTATTTTAATTGGAACTTTTCTACTTATTTTAACTTTCTTTTATCAGTATGCCAGTATCGGTACTGGTTTACAACCTTTTATTTTTTTATTTTTTATAAAGGAAGGTATAGTTCCTATAACCAAAATTGGGTATAGTTCAGCTTTTCAAAAGGCTTTTCTACATGCCAGTCACTACATGTATTGTAGTAAGGCTGCTATTTTGAAAAGCCTTTTGAAAAGCTGAACTATACCCAGTTTTGGTCATAGGAACTATACCTTCCTTTATTTTTCCCTTTGGGCTTACACTTAGTGTCAGATGGGAAACTACTGCAGATACAGTTTCTGCTGGGACTTTCTCTCAGTAATAAGGATATTATTCTGAATGGACTTTTTAAAAATTCTGTCACTTCAAGGTTAACTGAGCCTTTTTGTGTCTTTGTTTTTACTATTTAGAGAGAGAGAGAGAGTGGAGGTGGGGGGACAGAGAGAAAGAGAATCTGAAGCAGGCTCCATATCTAGCACAGAGCCCAGCATGGGGCTCCATCTCACCACCCTTAGATCATGACCTTAGATCACCCCTTTTTGTTTTGTTTTTGGTTTTGTTTTTATTGTTTTTTAAGAGAGAGCGGGCGGGGGAGGGAGTAGTAAGGTACAACCTTTTAAAATAAAAATTAAGGGGCGCCTGGGTGGTTCAGTCGGTAAGCGTCTGACTCTTGGGTTTTGGCTCAGGTCATGATCTCAGGGTTGTGAGATGGAGCCCTGTGTAGGGCTCTGTGCTGGGCCTGGAGCCTGCTTGAGATTCTCTCCCTCTCCCTTTGCCCCCCCCCCCCCCCCCCCGCTTGAGTGCACTTTCTTGCCTTTGCTCTAGAATAAATAAAATATTTAAAAAATAAAAATTAAGAACAAGGTAACTGAGTCTTTTTGTGTCTTTGTACAGGAAATTCTACACACAGTGAAATGAAAGGAAAGAAAAATGCAACAATTAAAATAAATAAGGTTTGTTCATATAAAATCTTTTAGATAAAAACACTGTTTAGTACATAACTCTATAACTCAGCTATATCAAAATATTTAAATATAACTATTAGTTATCATGAGTTTTTTGTTTGCTGTTTCACTAACTTGTTTTTACTTTCCTAGCCTCGAAGATCAAATCAGTGTACCAGTCAGTGCTTCAGAAATATTTTCTCCAATATGTTTTCTTCTAGTAATCACACTGGAGAATCTTCTTTTACCTGTAGAACTTACTGGTTAGTATTTTCTACTTTATGTGTTTGTTCTTGATGTTTCATTATTATAATTAACTTTTGGTAAAAATTTAAGTTCTGGCTCAAACATGAAAGCCCACCTTGTTTTTTGTTTTTGTTTCTTTTGGGAAATAAACTAGTTTTAGCAAAGAGAAAACCTGCTATTTTGTGACCCTCTCTAGTATGCAGGGACTGCCTATCATCTAGTGGGTTTTGTTTTGATTAATAATAAATTGTTCTACACAGTCTTTTTATGTGTTGGAGAAGTAAGCTACTTATTAAATTGTAATCAAGCAGAACCCTTTTAGGGTAGATCCAGTAATCTCTGAATCTGTAGTGACTGGCATGTAGATTACTAAGTAAATATTTGTGGAATTTGAAGATTAAGTTGGGGTTTTAAAATCACCTAGCTTTAGTTGGACAAACAAGACAGATTAAGATTGTGTGATTTAATTTTAGTGCTTGGCTCAGGGTACCAAAGACAAAAATTACATCAGAGTAGCCTTTTGAAAAGCTGAACTATACCCAGTTTTGGTTATAGGAACTATACCTTCCTTTATTTTTCCCTTTGGGCTTACACTTAGTTTCAGCTGGGAAACTACTGCAGATACAGTTTCTGCTGGGGCTGCTTTGCTGTAGCTTTGATCCTTGGGGTAGGAAACAATGTGCTTTTTTCTCTCAGTAATAAGGATATTATTCTGAGTGGACTTTTTAAAAATTCTGTCACTTCAAGATATCGATTCAAGCATTATTTTTGCGAATCAGATAAATAGAATTTTGATTTGTAATAAATTTTACATTAGGAATGAGTTCATATTGAAAATGTTTAGAAAAAGGTTCTTATTCTTTTAAATATGGTTTATAATGCTAGGTACAAAAATTTTTGCTATCATGATACAACCTGGGTGTTATGCCGAACTTAAATATTTGGAATTCTGATGAAGGTCTAAAATTTATCTTTTAGTACAGAATTTATAGAAATCGATGAAATGAGTGCATTGATTAGACAGAAGAGACAGGAATTGGAATTGTCATGGTTTCCTCATACATCACCTGGAATTGGAAGGTAAAAAAAAAATTTTTTTTACCAGAGTGTTTACATGCTAACATGAGCAGAAGATGTCATTAATACTTAAGTAACAGAGGTATCTTAATCAATAGTTGTGTTTCTAAGAAAGTTTTGTGGTGTCTCAGCTGCCTAAAGATGGCTATTTAAAGACCCCCTTGAAAAGTATCTTTTTTATCTGTTTAATAAATGTAGATATTTGAGTCATTTAAAAGGGAGACTCTTGAATCCTGCAAACAAACTGAGGGTTGAGGAAAGGGAGGTGGGTTGGGGGGATGGGGTAACTGGGTGATAGGCATTAAGGAGGGCACGTGATGTGATGAGCACTGGGTGTTAATATGCAACTAATGAATTGTTGAACATTATGTCAAAAACTAATGTACTATACATTGGATAATTGAATTTAAATTTAAAAAATTAAAAAAAAAAGGGAGAGCACCAAAATGATAAGATTCATTATTAGTAATAGCATTCAGATCTGTCATCCTTCTATTGTTTCTCCCATTCGAATCTTAACCTGTGTGCTGTTACCTGACACACTACTTTGGTCATGACATTTCCCCTCCAAAAGATTCTTCTTAGTATTTATTTGACCAAGTCTTTATACTCTGCCCTGGCATTCATGATTTTCTGTAATGTAGTCCTTTCTTTTCTTAGTTTAAATCCTAAAGCTACTGTCACATTGCTAGGTGTATTATATATATACTTAAATCAAGTTCCTACATAAAGATTGAGGTCCTTGCCACTCTCATTCCTCTAACATTATAACTTTATCTTATATAACACTGTAATACAGTTCTGCATAGGGCCTTCCCTCTAGGAATGACAGTGGAATATAAATAGAAGTGAAATTAGGAAGTCCGGATATGTATGAGATCTTACAGAGTTAAATATTTTTGTGTATGTGTAGTAAGTTGCACATTGTTTTTGAAGCTTTTCTCCTCCTCCTCCAGAATCTAACCTTATACTGGGATAAAGTAGTTGCTTTTTTTTTTTTTTAATTAGGGGATCTGAACTGAACAGATATGAATCAGAAAAAAAGCTGAGAGTGGATTGGTTTTGGATGCAGAAACTTAATAGGGACACTGGGAGCTTTGAAGAGCCATCGTCCTTAGATTGAGGAACTTTACAATATAATAGAACAAGAGAAATCAGTTCTTTTTTTTCCTTTTTAAAAAATGTATTAATTTTGATGTTTTTGCTTTTGATATGTGCTATAAAATAAATGTAGCAAAAAATATAACCCATGTATGTATGATATGCTTCAAATTCAAGTGATAACAGTTCTGTTTCCAAGTTTTGTTATTTATTCATGGACTGATTTCTCTTTAACCTTGCTGATTTCTTTTAAACTTTGATTTGATGAACTTGGCTAAATTTTCTCTTCGCCCAGAAAGGGAGATGGGTAGGTGCAAGGGGCATGAAGGCACTTTCTGGTTGGGGGTGGTGGTGGCTACACAGATATATACATCAGTCAAAAGTCATCAAACTGTACGCTTAAAATCTGTGCATTTTGTTTATACATTTTATTATCCAAGTTGATTTTTTTTAGAATGGAGAAAAAAAGCAGAAGCTAAAAGAAAGTCTTGACAAAATATTACATTATTTAAAAGAGAATCATGTATTATATATGAAGTTGCCCTTGATCTCCTTTTGCCATTAATGCTTTTAAGGGTTTTTTCTGTTCAACCAGTTGGTAGCCATCTTTGAACAGTGAGTAACCTTGAGTTTACATTTTTAATTATTTTGGCAAAAACTGATTTAAGTACACTGTATTTTAAAGTTGCTAACCTGATTTGGGAAATTAATAATTTTAAATTGTTGGTGTAATTTTTAAACCATTTAAACAAAAATGTCTTTTTTGTTTTGAATTTTCAGAATTGGTTTTATACCCTGGAATATTGAAACACAAGTGCTTCCTCTCATCTCTTCTGTGTTGCCAAGAACTATTTTTCCAACAAGTACCATATCTTTAGAAAATTTTGGTAAAGTTTGTGTAATTTTTCTAGTTTTTAAAAAATTATTAGTTTCTTTCAGTATGTGAGTGTTAATGATTAGAAAAGCTATAAAATAAGGTAAAAATAGTAAGTCCTAGATATTTCTGTAAATATTTGGTCAGTGACTTGACTTTTAAATTGTTCCAAGTAGAAAATCTTTTTTACTTTTAAGAAATTACATCTTCAGATCTTCGAGGAACTGGTTAGAAGTCTTCCTTCTGTTTAGGGCTTCAGTGTCCAAAATGTAGATCTTTATAAGTTACATCTCCTATTAATTATGAACAAATAGTTTCAGTCTTTATATATTTATGGATAACTTGTTTTCTCATGTTTTTTGCATAGGTAATGCCTATTCATAAGGCAGTGGTAGTTATCAAACCAAACATATTTTCTTCTGGTTTTCTCCTGTATAGATTGCCCACAAGAATTGAAATCTTGTGATAATTCATTTCTGTAGCATTAAAAGAACCTGATAAATACCTGGTATTACTTAGATGTTAGTAGCTATGCATTTATTCATAACTTGATTCATACGTGTATTTTGTTTCACTCTGTTATAGACATTTATTTTATGCTAACATAACCTGAAGTCAAACAACTCATTTATTGAAACATATATTTACTTTTTACTTTTTAAAATATATATATTATTAGGTACCTCTTGCAAGGGATATGCATTAGCACATACTCAAGAAGGAGAAGAGAAGAAGCAAACTTCTGGTACATCAAACACGAGAGGAACAAGACGAAAACCTGCAGCAACAACTCCTACAAGGAGATCGACACGTAACACAAGAGCTGAAACAGTCAGTCAGTCTCAGAGATCCCCAGTATCAAATAATTCTGGGTGTGATGCCCCAGATAACAACAATCCATCTGTAAGTGTTTCCTCTTCAGCTGCGTCAGAAAAGCAAACAAGACAGGCTCCAAAACGGAAGTCTGTAAGAAGAGGAAGAAAACCACCTTTATTGAAAAAGAAACTTAGGAGCTCTGTACCTCCCCCTGAAAAATCATCTTCCAGTGATTCAGTAGATGAAGAAACAGCAGAATCTGACACACCACCTGTGTTAGAGAAAGAGCCCCAATCAGATGTAGAAAGTAGTAACAGTTGTACCATGCAGGCAAGTGTAGAAAATGAGTCTGCTAATGACTTGAGAAGTTGCAGTGAGCAGGTAGAAGAAAGTGAGGACCATTCTGAGAACCGTGATACAGAAGCAGCAGTGGAATCTCCGTATTCTGAGTCTTATACCCAAGGTCCTCCCGTACCAGTTGGAGAGGAGGAGGACATTCAGAAAGTTGAGAATACAAGTATGGAGGCTAATGTTTTATGTTTAGAAAGTGAGACTCCTAAAAATATTTCTGGAAAAGGAGATGATCCATTAGAAAATCAAGACCAAACATCTGGACCTTCAGAATCAGAGGTAAAGGTGGATAAATGTACAAATCATCGTTCAAATGATTTTCTTCCATGTTCAGGATCTGAAATTAAAGTAGACGAACCTGTACCAAGCTTAGGTGAGTTACCAGAGAACGCAGAGTCAGTGGTTAATAAAGAAAAAGTTATGCAGAGTCCTGTAGTAGAAATTATTGATCATAAAGATTCAACAGTAAAAACAGAACAGCTTGTAGACAGCCCCAAATTAGAATCTTCTGAGGGTAAAATTATGCAAACAGTGGACAAAAAATCCATAGAGTGCTCAGAGGTTCAGTTGCCTGGTCATGTTGAAACTGAAGATGTAGAAATAATTGCAGCATGTGATACTTCAGAGAATGAAAATTCCAATAGTATTCAAGACTCTGAAAATAATTTATTAAAAAATAATACCAAATTAGACAGATGTTTAGGAGAAAAGACTGAATCTCCTATTGAACATCCCAAATCTACAGAATTGCCTAACACACATATTGAACAAATTCAGAAGCATTTTAGTGAGGACAATAATGAAATGATACCTATGGAATGTGATTCATTTTGCAGTGACCAGAATGAATCTGAAGTTGAACCTTCTGTAAATGCTGATACTAAACAGTTGAATGAAAATTCTGTGGAGCACAGTTCTCAAAGTAATATGCCATCTTCTGATCCTGCCAGTGGAAAAGCTGAAACTGTATCTCAACCATCTGAAAGCCCAGTAGATGTGACAGAGAAAGCCAAAAAGCCTCGTACTCGAAGATCTAGATTTCACTCCCCCTCTACAACTTGGTCTCCCAACAAAGATACTGCACGAGAAAAGAAGCGGTCTCAGTCTCCATCTCCCAAAAGAGAAGCTGGAAAGGAAAGCAGGAAGTCTCAGTCACCATCTCCCAAGAAAGAATCTGCAAGAGGACGTAGAAAATCTCGTTCTCAGTCCCCAAAACAGGATATCGCAAGAGAAAGGAGACGATCTCAGTCTCGATCTCCAAAAAGAGATAGTACAAGGGAAGGCAAAAGATCTGTATCACTCTCCCCCAAAAGAGACACTTCTAGAGAAAACAGAAGATCTCAGTCAAGAGTGAAGGATTCCTCCCCAAGGGAAAAATCCAGGTCCCGGAGCAGAGAAAGAGAAAGTGATAGAGATGGGCCAAGGAGAGAGCGAGATCGAGAAAGAAGAACCAGAAGATGGTCTAGATCCAGATCTCGTTCTAGGTCACCATCAAGATCTAGAACAAAAATTAAGAGTTCATCATTTGGTAGAAATGACAGAGACACTTACTCTCCTCGGTGGAAGGAAAGATGGGCAAATGATGGTTGGAGATGTCCACGAGGAAATGATCGGTACAGAAAGAATGACCCAGAGAAACAGAATGAAAATACAAGAAAGGAAAAAAATGACAGTTCAGATGCTGATGATCCAAATTCTGCTGACAAACATAGAAATGACTGTCCCAGTTGGGTAACAGAAAAAATAAATTCTGGGCCTGATCCAAGGACCAGGAATCCAGAAAAGTTAAAAGATCCTCACTGGGAAGAAAACAGAAATGAAAATTCAGGGAATTCTTGGAATAAAAACTTTGGTTCAGGTTGGATGTCTAACCGTGGTAGAGGTAACCGTGGCAGAGGCACTTACAGAGGTGGTTTTGCCTATACAGATCAAAATGAAAATCGGTGGCAAAACCGAAAACCCCTCTCAGGGAATTCAAATAGTTCAGGGAATGAGTCTTTCAAGTTTGTGGAACAACAACCCTATAAACGGAAAAATGAGCAAGAGTTTTCATTTGATACACCGGCAGATAGATCTGGGTGGACATCTGCATCTAGTTGGGCTGTGAGAAAGACTCTACCAGCAGATGTGCAAAACTATTATTCCCGACGAGGGAGGAATTCTTCAGGTACACAGTCTGGATGGATGAGACAAGAAGAGGAAACAACTGAACAAGGTAATATATTCTGTTTATTAACACTGTTTTATGGAAGAAAGAGATTATAAATTTAATATTTATATGAATTGTAATGATCCGTGTTTATAGTTTTATAATGTTAAATTGAATCCCTAAATTGAATCACTTTGCATTATATAGATATATAGATATATATACACGTCAGTATTTACTGCCTTTTTCACCCCCTCCCCCGACCTTGCCAATAACTTAAGTTCTGTAAGTACAGTTTGCTACAACAGAAGAATTTAGGATGTTTTTTTGCAGGATTTAACTTCTATTTCATTTATCTCAGACCTGCGCACTTAGATTTTATTTGTCATTGTTCTCATATAAATAAGTTATTTTTCTATTAATGATTTATTTTTCCTTGGCTTTTCTTGTTAAGAACATTGCAAGAAAAAAGCTGTTAAAGATTTAAAAAAATGGTTAACCTTCTAATTTAGTAATCTAATTAAATTTTATAGGATTATTTCTTTAGATTTCGTGAGGTACTGATTCTTTGCTAGTGTCAACAGATGTTATGTGAACTTATTCTTAAAAATAATTTTGAATTTTTTTTTAGTTAGAAAATCAGCCCACATTATTTAGAAATGACAAGATTAAACTAAATGGAGATTCGTTTAGGTGTTCTGAGTCTGTTCATTGCTACTTAATCTTACTATAATCACTGGTTCTTTGCTTCTCTGACTAAAGAAGTTTGCAACATGATTTTTCTTCACAAGCCTTTTTTCTCTTGATAGATTCTAACTTAAAAGACCAAACAAACCAACATGGAGATGGTTCTCAGCTACCTATAAATATGATGCAACCACAAATGAATGTAATGCAGCAACAGATGAATGCACAACAGCCTATGAATATCTTCCCATATCCAGTGGGTGTTCATGCTCCTTTGATGAACATCCAGCGCAATCCATTTAACATTCATCCTCAGCTACCCTTGCATCTGCACACAGGCGTGCCTCTCATGCAGGTAGCTGCTCCTACCAGTGTATCTCAGGGACTCCCACCACCACCACCCCCTCCCCCACCATCCCAACAAGTCAGCTACATTGCTTCACAGCCAGATGGAAAGCAGTTGCAGGTATGTTTTTAGCATCTAAAGTTTAATCAACATAGCCATTATAAGCATTTAAATGTTACGGACAGGTGTGCAAGAAAGGGCTTCCTGGTATCCACAAACATTTATTTATTTGATTAGGTTTATGGTAAACCTTCATAGCCTACCTTCACTGTCCTTCCTCAAACCTCCCACCCCTCAAATAAGAAAATGAATTGAATGCATATTATTAAATCTAAGCTACATATATACTGTTGATGTCCAAACAGATTTGCTTTTTCAAGTTAAGATCATATTGTGAGCCAAATTAGAATCAACTAGTGGGTGCTTTAAAATAATTCTCTAATTTATTGGACTTTTAAGGGGGTGGGAACTTGTGATGAAGCTTGTATTGTCTTGTTGGAACAAATGCCAGATAAAGCTGTTCATTATCCATTACCATCTGTGTTTCATTTTCACTGAGTTTACTATGCTAAAAAGAAAGAAGTGACTGAAGCATATAGAAAATTTGAATAATAATTTGTAAACACTGTGTTCCTTATAGTTCTGTGCCTACATTTCACAAATCCTAGAATCACAAATCCTAGAAAGCAGTGTATAGTTGGAAGATAAGGGGAGTAGGATTCCAGAATTTGGGACCTCCTATCTTTTTTTTTTTTCCTGTCAGCTCTCTGCAAGCCATTTGACTTCACTGTCTCCTTTTCTCCCATCTTTAAAGTGAGGGCACATACTTGAGTTAATTTTCATAAAGAGCCTTTCAGGAAAGATACTATTCTTTAAATGCTGTTCTTTTCCTTCTTGTTTTTAGTGTTGTCAGAACATTACAATTTGCAAGTGTAATTTAAACGTCACTTAACATATTTACATAGGTCTCTGTTTAAGAATGTTACTCATTTTTCTTCAGAGTCCTTTAGAATATACATGACCTGAAATAAGTACTAAGTACTGAGGTTGACTCACTTTGAATTTTTTTGTTATTTCTAATGACTGAAAGACTTCTGTTGAATACAAGTAATTAATTAACTGATGATAACTCTTTAAAACAGGGTATTCCTAGTGCTTCTCATGTAAGTAACAGCATGAGTACACCCGTCTTGCCTGCTCCAACAGCAGCCCCAGGAAATTCGGGAATAGTTCAGGGACCAAGTTCTGGTAATACTTCGTCATCAAGTCACAGCAAATCCTCTAATGCTGCTGTAAAATTGACAGAGAGCAAAGTAAGTGTTACAGTGGAAGCCAGCGCAGATAGCTCGAAGACAGACAAGGCAAGTTCAAGGTTGAGAGCAACCTGCATATTCTGTGTATGATAAAGATGAAAAAATACCAGTTTTGTTTTGTATAATTGGGAAAGGGAATTTACTGTTGATAATCTTAAATTCCAATGCTGTTTGAAGGGTTCTATCTAGATATGTTGATGTCCAATGAGTTACTGGTAGTATTTCATGATTATTTTTAGAAATGTTTGGTATGTGTGTTAATAAATAACTTCTGTATTTATGACACTAATATTTGAAGAATTTTTGCAATAATGTAAAAGTGTGTTTTCAGTTTCCTATTTTCAAAGAAATTTTTTGAAGGTATGTGGTTGGGCAAATAATAATTATACTTTTTCTTCTTACCAGAAATTACAAATCCAAGAAAAAGCAGCACAGGAGGTAAAATTGGCCATTAAGCCATTTTACCAAAATAAAGATATCACCAAGGAAGAATATAAAGAGATTGTACGGAAAGCAGTAGATAAAGTAAGTTATAGCTTTAGCAGAGTTACGTATGTATTGTTTTGAATCATCCCTGTTTTAATAAAGGAATGCTTAAGTCTAATTAAAATAATAAGCACTAACTTCTAATTCTTGTCTGCTTTTTTACCTTTCAAATAAGTTCATATGAGATATGAAACATACAAAAATGTCTGATTATCTTTTAGGGGTTGTTTTTCAAAAAGCTTTCCATTTTGCTGTAATCCTTTTAAGTATGAGAAAAATATTCCCCCTCCTTTTTTTATAGGTTTGTCATAGTAAGAGTGGAGAAGTAAATTCTACTAAAGTGGCAAATCTGGTTAAAGCCTATGTAGACAAATACAAATATTCACGGAAGGGAAGCCAAAAGAAAACTCTGGAAGAACCTGTGTCTACCGAAAAAAACATAGGTTGAAATGGGGAGCACTATAAAGGACACTGTCAAGATATCTGCAAAGTGCAATTTCAACATGTACCTTTAACTGAAAATCATACATAACTGTGATTGAAATTTGGTTTTGATAAAATTATTTTTTTTAATGTAGAATATAAAATTTTGTTCTAAATAAATATAGTTCTGCACTGCAACTTCTTTATCCTTTCCTCCTCCCGAAAATAAAAGCAAATTCAAGGGGAAGTAAAGGGGTTAAAGGAGTGTGCATTTTTACTAAGACTGTGTTATAGTATGGATACTGGAAGATGTACAGCTTTTTGATTTGAATAATGGAGTGCATAAATTAGAGTCTTCTAAAGTGCACTGGTTTTGGAAAAGATATATATAATACATTTATTCTGTCAGGCTAAAAATAAAGTATGATCTTTATGATTTTTCCCTCTAATTATAGAAAGTTAAATAATGTATTACCATGAAAAATATTTCTAATAACAGAATATACCAATTGCAGGGTTCCTAATATGTATTTTTAAAGTACACATCTGAATAAATTGCCTAGATAGAAAACAGATTATCACATGAGTAAAATTCAGTGTTCAAAACTTTGGAACACTGTTATTGTATCACCAAATAAAGGTTATGCTGCTTGTTTTTCTTTTGTGCCTTTTTTTCCCCCCCAGTTGAGATGAAGCAGTTTGATTTGCTAGATTTACAACTATGGAAGTCTAAAACTCTGTTGAATTTAACAGACCAGTTTGGAAAAAGTGTTCGTATGTAAGAATTTGTAAAAATTATGTTCTTTCACGATACCTCCCACCTATCAGAGAAATGATAAATTATTTGTGCCAACTGGAGAGTTGCTGTTGAGTAGTGACCCTCCCTTCCTTGGGACGAAGGTAGAATTACAAAACTCACTTCAGTGGCTTTCAGTTGCTCATCTATCTAATCACTAATGAAATTCTTTTCACACTTGAGAAGTCTCCAAATGCTTTACAGTGAATAAAGTGTTAATTAGGTGACCATATGGTAGCCATTAACCATGCTGCAAAATTCTCGACATTAAAACCTGTGTTTTGGAAAGAGAGAGGAATTAAATAATGGACTTGGTTAGGCTTTCAGGGACTAGGGATTTGACTGTCTTTTTTAAAATACTAGAATATGTTAATTTTTACAAAAGGTAAGTTCACAGTGTTAGAGAGCCACTATTTTAATTGGCATCTTAGAAGAAAAAATGAGTTATATCCATGATAAACTGTCTTTCATTCCAGTAACAATTTTCAGTAGACACCAAATAACTGGAAAGCTATTCGGATAAGACGTTAATGGCTCTGACAGACGTATGCCTCAGTGAGACAGACTGACCCTTTTACTAGCTACACTAGAGAGCAGGACTCCGTAGGACTGTGCTTTTCTGAAGTAAAGATGATCTGGTTCTCAAGTTTATGTGAATACTTTCTTGGTGCTAGCTTTGATAAGGCAAATATTTTGAATTGTTGTCCCCAATAATGATTGTGCTAGTTCATAATCTTTATTAGATGATGAATGTAATCCCAAAAAGTGTTAGAAATATTTCCAAGCAGTTCTTGGTCTTTATTCTGCATTTCTGGGCATTTGTAATATGGTATTCTACTGATTTATATATATTTTTTTAATTAAAGTTTGTGTTTAGATACGGAGGGGAAAGAAGTTTGAAAGTATATTCTAATAAAATATTAAGACTTTTAAATATCAACACACACCTCATTTGTTTGTTTTGAACTCTAGAAACAATTGTGTGAACTTTCAGTCTATTTTCAGTTAAAGCAGGTTCACACTTTGAAAATTTTGTAGCAAATTGCCTAAGATAAGATAATTAATCACACAGGGCATACTTTTCCTGCATTTTCTTTCAGTGATGTTTGGGAGTAGGTTTACCATTTAGCTTTGCAAACATGTTTAAAAGTTTTGAAGAAAAAACTAGGTGGAGGTCCAGAGTTAAAGTCTCACATCTTTGGTAGCAGTGCCATGATTATTTCCACCTTTCTTGAAAATAACAAGTGTGTATTCCATATCTGCTTTGGGGTACTTGGTTAGACTGCATTTAAAATGCTAATGAAGAATGTTACTGGATTAGAATTCAGACTTAAAACTTAGAAATACTTAAGAATGTATTAGAAAGTGCATGTTTTATGTTCAAAAAACAATGCTTTAACATTCCCCATTCTTGCTTTTTTCAGAAATTTAATTTTGCATGTGCACAAAAACATTTTGTGGGGTTACAGATTTCTCATTATTTATTAAGATTCAGTATTAACTTGACCCTTGAATCTTTAGTCCCATTAACTTACTAGTCACACTGACCAATGTTTTAGGCTATAGTGATGCCTAGAAATTGAGACTAAAAGTAATTACTTAATTACTTTAACATTCCAAAAGTTTTGTGATTTTTTTTTCTGGTAATTACCACATTTTCTCCATTATCTTCCTTTAAATGGCCAAGTGTGTACTGTTTGAATGTTCCATCCAAAAGATGTAGCTTCAGAAGCACAGTGGTTGCCCCACGGTCCACGAGATGTTGTTTGTAGTACGAGGATGGAGTGCTGTCTACTGAAACAATACTCTTAAACAGATATGTAGTATGTAATATTTTCTAATAAATTCTTTTGGTAAAGAAGTGTCTGTCTTTAACATTTTATTATTGAGATTCTTGGGAAATGGTGACTTTTACCTCATTATAACTCTTTCCAAACCCATGTTGAAGTATTTCTTGGATTTGTACCAGAGTAACTAGCACCATAGTTACATTAATTCCAAATTGTAAAGCAAGCTTAGAGTCAGCTATAAGCATTTTTTCCTAATTACAAAATCATTGTAGGAAATTAGGAAAACTTTATTTAAAAAAAATTTGTAGAAAAGGGAAGAAACTGAAAAACAAAAGGAGAAAAATTACCTGTAATCCTATCATTTAAAGGTAACAGTACTGCTCAGACTGCCCATAACTATGTTGTAACTTATCCTTTTCACTTAATGATGTATTTAGAAGTTTTCATTTTAATAAAAATTTCTACAGCATGATTTTTAATGGCTGTATAGTATTCTGTTACATACTGTACCATTACTTAAACCAACCCTCTGCTGTTGGATATTAAGTTGTTTTTACTAATATAAATAAATTAGTAAAATAAAAATTGTACTAACATTCGTAAGACTGATGTGAACATCTTTGTATATAAATTGATGTATCCCATTTCAGATTATTCTCTGGAGATTAATTCCTAGAAGTAGACTATCTTGGCTGATCAGTTTTTATTTCCCCATAAAAGAATTTTTAATGTGATTATACATATACACGTGATGTATAATTTTAAAAATTCAATCATATTTAATGTAAAACTCCATTATTTTCCTAAGCTGATTTTTCTATCCAGAGAAAACTGTCAGAAAGATCTGTGTATCTTTCCTAGATCTTCATGCATTTACAAAAATGATTAAGTTTCCAGGAAAATAGGTTTCACAGATTGTTCTCCTAGCACATGAAGTATATTCCATAAACTGTTCTGCATCTCTGGTCTCCTTAATAAATTGAAAGTATATCTTAATGTCCATGTTCTGTTTTATAATGGCTATATCATGTTCCCATGGTGATGGACATTGAAGTTATGTTTAGGTTTTGGCTGTTAGAAGCAATGTTTTACTGAGCACCCTTTGTAACAGCTCTAGGAACCTCTATTTTGTGTATGCGCTTACACTGAATTTCAGATATGCACATTTTTAATTTGGATAGCGTTGCCAAATTGCTCTCAGAAAGGGGTATACTAATTTATAGTCCCACCACAGCGCTGAACTTAGAGTGTAGTTCCACTTTTGATACTGTGACTGAACATGTAAAATTAAGATTGCCTTTGGTCAGAAGGTCTTAAAGAACACCGATTTCATCAAACAGTGCACACCTACTATGTGTCAGGGATTCTTGGATTCTTCACATATTATCAGAATTAATTATACCACAATATTTTAAAAGAACAGTATAGTAATAGCATATTTATTAAGCTTGTAATATGTGCTGGGCGCGCTATCAGACATTATATGTGTTACCTCTTGGTTTATAAAACCAATTCTAATAGTTATCTTTGTTCTGATGAGAAAATTGAGATACATAAAACATTGAGTTACCTAGTTACACAGTTACTTAGTGATAGAGACAGGATTGAGATATGGGATTGGTAGACACTGAAGTGCTTGACTTGGGGTGTGGGGTGTTACACTGAGCTCCCAGATGTAAACTAATGTTTATAACACATGGGCGTTAACAGCTGAACTAAAAAAGTATACTGGGAACACGGAAGACACAGCTGACTGGGAAAGAAGTGAGGCAGGGAAATTTATACTTTTGTCTACGTTGTTTCATTGCCTTTTTAACACTTCTGTATTTCCTGTCCTGGAGATAATAAGCTTTTAATATTGAAGCCATCTTTCATGCATTTTCCATTCTCATCCCATCTCCATTCTCTCAAAACAGTTGCTATTTCCTCTATATCAAACTGGAATTCCTTTGCAGTAAAATCCAGCTCCCTTAGTTCCCAGCAGTGTTACCATCTGACCTCTTTTAATAGTCTAAACTATGATTTAGATTCTGTACGCATCAGTTCGTCTTAGACACGACTAACCTTTCAGTAGCACAGCTTTGGTCATATTCTACATCATTTCAGCATACAGTGCTGGCCTCATGTTGTGTACACACTAGGGAAGAGTGAGCAAAACAATACTGTTTTCACTCTCGTAGAACTACATAATATTGTGGGAAAAGCAGCTATATATTTATATAACTGATTCGGAATGACAGAGGATCCTGCATGATCCAAGAATCTGTGATAGGGTAATAGGACCTAATAGTGATCAGTGAGAGTCCCTGGAAGAAGTGGCACTCAAGAGCTAAAAGATGAATAGGAACTAAGCAAGGAGAAAAGACAAGCTGGCAGAGGAAATAGGTGCAAAAGGTCTGGAGCCCAAAAGCGTGACAACCCCAAGCCTAAATTGGCTGGAGTGAAGACTGGTGGAGAGTTCTTAAGGCAATCGGTTTTGCAAAGAAAAGGTTTTGAGATCTTTCAAGCAGGAGGTATTTGATATAAGCAGATTTGCATTTTGAAAGATTACTCTGCTCATAATCTTTCAGTGGCTTAATAAAGTGGTTAGTAAATATGAAAAGGTGTTCACAGTTAATGTTACACATTTTCTTTTATCAAACTATCAATTTAATTCTGGCAAGAGTCCCATTAAGAACTAGTACTGGTGGCCATTTGTACAAGTTTTCTGAAAGGCAACTGAAAATAAGTATAAAGAGCCTTAAAAGGGCCATATACTCTTATCATAATAATAAAACCTACTGGTTCACATAGTTCTCCTTTCTAGTATTTAACAGTGGAAAATTGGAGGGGATGGTTAAACTGTGGTTCATTCATGTGAAGGCATTTGACAGCTGTTGTAACTGTTTCCAGGGATAAAAAGATGAAATGGAGGAAAACAGGACAGAAACTATAGTTGGCCCTTGGACAAGGAGGGGCTAGGGGCACCAAACAGTCAGAAATCCCCATAGAATTTGTGACTCCCAAATACTTAACTACTAATAGCCCTCTTTTGACTGGGAGTCTTAACTGACAACATAGTCAACATGTGTTTTGTATGTTACATGTATTATCACACTGTATTCTTAATACAAGCTGGAGAAAAGAAAATGTTAAAATTCTAAGGAAAATACATTTATTAGTACTGTAGCATATTTATCAAAAAATCCACGTATAAGTGGACCCCTGCAGTCCAAACCTGTGTTACTTAAGGGGTAAGTGTATATATAATATTCCAACTTACTTTTTTTTAAGGCAAAAAAATACAAATTCTTAATAGGGGTTATTTCTGGGTAGCAGAGGATCTTCTTTTAATGCTTTTCTTTAGCTTCCAACTTCACTACAGTGAGTTAAGAGTTGTATGATCAGAAAAACCTTTTAAGAAAATTGCAGTCCTCATTGCTTGGGACATGACAG